TTGGCTTCCTATAAACATCTCTTTCTAACTCACCCTCTTCTCTAATGGTGAGACCATCCATAAATATTATGGACTTATTCTCTTCCTTTTTTCATTACGAACCTAATGTTCCTTTCACGCTGATTGAGTGAAAATAGGAAACTAGCTAAACTTTCCTTACCATGAGGCCAGATGACAAAATAGTCATCCATATATATCTAACCAACAATTTGGGAGTTATTATTGCCTCTTGCAGGAAGTGTTCCTCAAATCTTGCCATATAATTGTTGGCTAAGATGGGAATCCGACAAGATCCCATCGCTAATCCTTGTGCTTGTTCGTATAACTTACCATCGAGGGTAAAATAGGTGGTACTCATGGAAGCTAGACTCAGCCCTATTCCTTGTGTTACCTCTAAATGCTCCTCTAGAGTTTGTATCAGAGCTTGAATAGCTCATTGAACGGGGATGTTTGTGTACATAAACACAACATCAAAACCTAATAGCCAATCTTCCTCTGAAAGTATCTGCTGATCAATCAGTTTCATAAAATCATAATATTTTTTAAGTGAATATAGCCAAAAATAGGAAATTTTCCTAGTTGTATGCAAAAAATGTGAGATTTTATGCATCAAGCTCCTTTTATTATTTGCAATTGACCTTAGAGGGACACTCTCTTTGGGAATCTTAGGGAAACCGTAAGCCGTGGGGGCCTTTGCATCTCTCTGGAACAGTGAATTCATTTTCCACTTCTCTATTTCACCACTACTTACGCATACTTTAAGAGCATCCTTTAGCCTAATCTTAATTCTTTCCGTTCGATCTCACATTAGAGGCATATGCGTGTTAGTGTCATCTAATGAAATACCTTTTTTTTCCAAATAACTTGACCTATCCAATAACTATTACTGCTCTACCTTTTTCGGCTTTCATAACGATTAGGTTATTACAACACAGGTATATAGAAACCCTACTAAGATCACAAGCTTTCTTTGGCGGGATTATATGGACAATATGAGGGATCACCTCCAGTTCACTACTCTTCCTTATCTCTTCGCGCAATCTACCAGATAAACTAATTAATTCAACAAGTATTTCCATAGAATGGTTTACCTCATTTGGAAGAGCAAAATTTAATCCTTTTTTCAATAAAAGTTCCGCACTAACCTCTAGATGTATACTAGATAAAGTGATTACTTTATCCTTCCCTAGTTTGCTTCACACATGGTTACTATGACTCATCTTGAGCTCATAATTTCTTTATCTTATTCCATTTTCTTAGTTACTGAGCTTTATATCATGTCTCCGCGGGGTAATACTATCAGTGGCCTCTCTTAACCCATCAGCCATATCTTGGAACTTAAGTAAATCCACATCACTCAGTATTTGAGAAAGGGATTGCCCAAGCGTATTTTTGGTTCTAATTAATTCGTGTAGTCTCTTAATGCTTTACTTGAGTCTAGTATTAACCAAATTACACGATACCTGATCAAGTTCCCTATTGGTGGTTCTCGGTAGATTAAAACGTCTACAGACTAAACAACACATAGGAACAACATTATGAGAAATACAAATTTTTAAAAAGCTAATTCTATTAAATTATCAGGATTTATTTTTTTTGGTTATAATATAGCCAGAAGATAATTGACAAGAAGACTAACCGTACGTACATTGTAGATATGAAGAGTAACTAAGTCATTAAGCCTTGATGAGCAGAGCCTGACATTAGCCTTTTGAACACTGAATTAGGACCGTTATTGTGTATTATGTCAATACACACACACACACACTCCAACAAAAGTAGCAGGACCAATATGAAGGATAACTAGCTAAACCATTCTATAGCTATCTAGGTTTTTAATTTTATTTTCTTAATTGATTCTATATAAGAGGTAAGATAGAGCCAGATAGCCTTCTTTTCCTAGTATTAACTTGGGACTTTTACAGAAATGAGGCCCAACTTTGATGACGTCCATCATATAATGGACGAAAGCTCAGCCAGTTCTCACCCGAACGAGAGAGGAGGTCTCGTGGACTGTGTCAACCTAAACGTCATATTAGAGCCGAACGGCTGCAGCACAACGGGATTGAGCCATCCTCTTCCGTTGAGATCTACCCACGAGTCTCTTCTTCATGCACTTTCATACGAAATAATATTTTCCCTTTATAAGTAGGGCGTCGAGACTACCATTAACGCTATAACTGTTTTTAGC